TTAATTGACTGTATATTTTGTGGGCGAAACGCAGTATTTCGCAGAGGTCACCTAATGACTTAAGAATGTTGCAGCCCTGAGACTGATTGATCAGCCGAGCAAATGCACCCAGATGCTATTCTCCCTGTGAACTACCAAAAAGCAACAAAAAAGCAGTCTAGCCCCACCCCCATTTTGCCCCCACTCTCAGTGTAGTGACTGTATTATGATCCTAGGCTGAAGCATGGGCCTGCATAATAATAGGCACAGGTGACACGAATGAACTCTTTCATAGCTAAGAGTGTGTGGAATTTAGGGCCTCAGGTGTGTTGGAAGAAACTGCCCTGAATCATACTGCTCATGCAGTGTGAGGGTTAAATTACTTCATGGTAACTTCCCTAAAGAGGCCAAACCTCCCTCCTTCCTACCCACCACCTCTTCCCATATGAAATCATCCCTTTTATTGGAAGAAGGAGTGCGGGTGGTGGCACACGTCAACGCTTAATCTCCAGGAATCCCTCCAGTCAATCAGTCAGTCAGGCTAACTGACGTACACACATCAGCCTCCAACCCTTATTTGGGAACAACTTCACAGCCAGAGTGAAACGTGTGTGTTCGTGCGTGTGCACTGTATGAGGAAGCACAGCTATTGTCTGGTGGGTGTGTGTGTTCATTCTACAGTATAAGGTTTCCAAGTAGAAAATTACCGATTGTTACTGAGGCTGAATTACATTTGCTCCCACCACTCACTGAGACCGATCTTTGCCATTGATATCTGTCCAATAACGTCAATAATAATAACAATATTCCTTGCATTTGATTTTGCGCCTTATCACATTGTTGAGACACCTCAAAGCACTTCACAGAATGTATTATAAAGTGGATTGAATGTGTATTTTGTGGGCGAAACATCTCAAAGAATCTTCACTGGGAATTGCTCTTAGGTACTACAGTGACTGTGTTTTTGCAAGCACCATCCCACATGCAAATTAACAATTAGTATTGTTGACCAGGACACCAGGAAACCCCACATCTGAGCCTATTCAGGTGGACGTTAAGGATCCCTCATCGCTATTGAGAAAAGAGAAGGGAGTTTCTCCCTCCTGGCGTCCCGGCTGACAATCCTCTGGATAAAATCAGTCACTTACGTCAAGGCAGTTTTTAAGACTTTGCTCTGCAAAAAAGGTATACCCGTAAGATATGCAGTCAGTACTCCTGACAACCTGCAACTTTGGGAGCTGACGACATGATAAAAAAGTTATTTCTTAATACAAAAATAAAACCCTTTGAACATGTTAAAGAGCTGGCTGAGAAGAGAGGGTTGTTTGTGTCTGAGAACTAAGAGAGCATAAATTGGAAATTTTCACCAAATGGAGATTGTATCTTTCAGGAACTGAAAGGCACATTAAATGAATGTTAAGTCAGTTCATTGCCTCTAGCCAGTATCTGCTAATGTCACTCATCGGTTTCTGTTCCAGAAACTATAGAGTTGAGCTGGGCTTGTGTGTGAACTCAGATGGGAATTTTGTAAAGAACACTTTTTATTACATGTCAGAATGTCCAGAGATGACACACCGTGCTCTTCCCAGAATAGAAGCTAAGGCAAGTTTACTCTCCAAACATCCCAATAATCACAACAAAACACACTCATTTTGTCTCTCTCTTTCCTCTCGCCATCCCCCATTATACACTGCCCATCTGGGACTTCTTTATGTGAGAATCTGGATGGTGACTGATGGCTGGAATTTATTAGGGGGGTGGGTGGGGGTGTGGGCAGCGGGAGGGGGAGCAGCTGGGTGTGTGTGGCAGTAGGGGCGGTGGGGGGGGTGTTTGAGGATTTAGCTCAAAACACCATCTGAGGGATGGATGAGTTTCTAAGAAGTTTGCGAGAGTGTTTTGGGTGTGTGTGTGTGGAATGGGGAGAAGAGTAGTAAAAGTGCAGTGTAAAAGAGCAAAATACTGGGATCCCATGACGTGAGCAGGAGCTTGTGTGTATGTCCTAGAGTCCTGTAGCTCAGTGGTTAGAGCTCTCGCTTTGCAAGCGAGAGACCTGAGTTCAATTCCAGGTCAGGGCGAAACCTTGGGCAAGTTTCCTTACTCCACACAGAGCCTAATAATAATACCTCCAAAGCCAAAAACAATAATAAATTGGTCATTTTCAATCTACGACTGTTTGTGGGACATTGCTGTGTGCAATTGGCTGCCGCGTTCGCCCACAAATATACAGTCAATTCACTTTACAGTGTGTTCTGTGAAGCGCTTTGGGACGTCCTCCCGACGTGAAAAGCGCTATATCAAATTCAAGGATTATTATTATTATTATTAAGAACGAGTTCCTGAGGGCAGGAGTGGTTAATGTGTGAGTGGGGAGGCACTGAACAAAGGGAGAGAGAGCATGAAAAAGAGGGAAAGGATGAGAGAGAGGAAGAGAGCAAGGGTGAGCGCGAGCGAGAGTCAGCAAGACTGAGACCGAGTGGGAGTTCACCATTGCTTGTCCAGCTAGGACTAGCCTACCCATTACGGCTTTCGCTTGCCGGGTTAATAGGACCTGAGTGGGAGGATTTCCTGCCCACAGGGACTACTCTGCCCTGCCAAGTCCTGCCGATGATCCAGGCTGGTTGTGCGGTCATCTGCACTGTCCTGGAGTACTGTGGATCCGCCTGGCAAAGGAACCGGATTACCAAGATCAACACAGAAGGCAGGCTCGATTCTGACATTCCGTTGCCGAATAAGTCATCATGGAGCCAGTTCAGCTCCAGGGAGACTGGGTGAGAGTGGAGCAAGAGACGTGTTGACTGACTGGCATTACCTCCTATAACTGGTGCTCTGCTCCTCTCCTCAGCAACTTGCACAATCTCGGAGTTATTTTTAGCTGTTTATTCTCACCTAAGCTCTCACTTGCTGGCGACTAAATCATCTTCCGTCTTGTACTCAAACTGCTGGTTTACTGAGACACTGATCAGAGAAGCGCTTCAAATGAGCATTGCCTGTTTCCTTATTAAATTGTTGGTGCCTGGTGCATTAGTTCTTAATCGCATCAATTCATACCTTAAACGTTGCTTACCAGGAGCACTGCTGACAAGTGTAGTGACCGTAGATTTTACAGGGAAACACAGCAACGCGCTGCACGCAGCTTACAAAGGACCAATTTTACCCGGGAATTGTTGGCCAGGATATTGGTAGAGAGAAACACCTTTCTGATAGTACTGCGGGGATCTTAGCATGCACCTCATCACAGGGTGACCACATTTTGTACACCAAATTCGAGGACGGGACACAGATAATAAAAAATTTAATTCAACGCAATTCCTGATGCTAGCAGTTACTGGAGAAACTTGTTGGATTAATGGCTGTATTTCTCTGATGAGTACATCTACTCCACCCACTACCCAGCCCAACCACCACTCCCCACTCCATCACCGCTCACCCCCACCCGCTGCCTTCGCTCGGCTAGTTCTGGCCTCCTCTTTGTCCCTCGTCCCCTCTGCTCCATCATTGGTGGCTGTGCCTTCAGCCACTATGCCCTGAAACTCTGGAACTCTCTCCCTCAATCTCTCCACCCTTCCTCCTCCCTCCCCAAATTCAAATCCCGCCTAAAGATCATAATTTTTGTCCTTCATCTCACGCCTGTCCCCAGAAATGGGGGAACGTGTGGCTACCTTAGGACAGAATCAGTTTCGGGTAGTGCTGAAGGCTGGTGGTACAGTCCTTAAAGCCATTGGTATGAAACTGTCATAAATAGATGCTTGATCAAAAAGAGAATCTTCATAGAGTGTCTCTGAGCTTACTCAGAAATAACAGACCCAACTTCCTTGTCTCTGTTACTTTAACACCTCTTCCCAGCATTTCACGACCTGCTGCTGACTCACTGGCTTTGCTGCCTCTTTCTGCATCAGGACAATATGATGCCTGTGCAACACATAACAACAAACATCTGAATTGTGTAGGAACAGGGCTCGTTCACAGCTAATCTTGATCTAGCCTCCACTACCATCCAACTCCCTTTATTGGAAATCAAAAATAATAATAATCCTTGCATTTGATGTAGTGCCTTTTCGGGTCATCAAGATGTCCCAAAGAGCTTCACAGGATATACAGAAAACTGTCGCGACTGTGTATTTTTTGTAGGTGAAATGCGGCAGCCAGTTTTCACAGAGCAGTGACGCACAAACAGCCATGGAGTGAGTGACTGATTTTTTTGTAGGGGAGTTTGTCAGCCAGAACAGGACAGGCCAGGACACCGGGAGAGATTTGAAATATGAAAGTTTGTGTCTCTCAGGTTACTGAGCCGGCCCTCGACTTCCTGCTGTCGATGAACTTTCATTAGCTTGCAGCCTTTTTTGTGGTTGTTAAAATTAATCTGACATCAAATGAACCGTTTCTCGGGGCCTGTGGCAGAGGTTAGAAGCTGAGAAGGAAATGTGTCGAGGGCTTGGGTGACCGAGACATTGCAGTGGTTTTTGAAGATTCACTTTGTGTCCTGTGGTTGGCAGCTCCAGTGCCGTGACTGGCTGAACGTTAGCCCTCCCCCCCACACGCCCCCCTCCTACCCGCTTCCGTGCTGGGTCTCTGCAGCTTGTGTGCTGGATTTTATCGGGGTCTTTATAAGGGTCAGCGAGGCTGTGGGTCAGCAGCATGGTCCACGCTAGAGCAAGTGATAACTACTCTTCATGATAATAATTATCCTCATGCTGGATATAACATCACCTACAACGTCAAAACAGCCCTGGGGAATTGCTTTCATGTGTAGTGACTGTGACCACTTGCATCAGAGGCTTTGTATTTTATAGTGCGTCTCTAACTTGCTTTGTCGCTACGACCTGGGATTGTGGACGGACAGTGTAGAGGGAGCTTTACTCTGTCTCTAACCTGGGGGTCCGTCCACAATCTCAGGTCGTAGCGACAAATCAGGTTAGAGACTCGCTATAAAATACTAAGCCTCTGATGCAAGTGGTGACAACAGTGTGCTGAGGAGCACAAATCGGACAGTAAATGTAAACAATAATTGCCTCGAGGCATGATTTCACTGAAACATAGAAATGAGTTTAATTTAGGTCACATTAATTAGCTACATCTTGAACATAAATAAAGTGTAAACAGCAAATGTAAACATAAGATAGAACATCACAAAATTCTTTCTATAAAAACAAGTCCACTTAAACACAAACATATAAAGTTGAAATAAAAACAGTAACTTTGGTGCAATTTGTATGTCAGTACAATATTCCCTGTAATTTCATCCTGTGGTTCACCCAAAGCCGAGAAATACTTGAATATTCGGGCTTTGAACCACCTGATTCCTAAAATTGGTCTGAACAGTGCTTGAATACATTTGGTTTGTTATAAATGGGCGGCAGGGATGGGGGGTAGTGGGGAGTTATACAGTCCGTGGAGACGAAATTCGCTTTAGCCCTGTTCTGCTCAGTTCAGTCAGTTGTCGCCAACCTGCTGACTTTCCACCATTTGGAATTTGAGAAGAATGAGGGCTCGTGGATAAATGGGATTGTTGAGTCCCAGCGAGCGACTGCTGCCGGGAGCGGGCCGAGTCTTTGGTCAGGAGAGCCTCGGATCGACGGAGCTGGAGATGGGAACCAGAATCAATGCCGCTGCCGAGACTGAGAGGCACTGGTCGTGACTACGTGGCTTCCTCACCCCGGCCTGACCAGCTGGGCTCCGCCACGCTTGGAGGCTTTAGGTAATTGCTATTAGCTGCTTGCAGATAGATAGTCATTAAAAGTGCAGCGAACCAGCAAGGTGTACATGAGGATAATAGTTCTTAAAGCGAGTGGATTTGTGGTATTAAAGCCTGGGAGGTATTAAGAACAGAAACTATCAACAAGGATTTAGGCTCCAACAGCCTCTGATGGGAAGATTCAGACATGTAACTAGTCTGGCTCCTGTAAGCCACTCACAGTGTATGACTCAACATACACAGCAGTGTCCCACAAACAATCATGTAAGTGAGTGACCGATTTTTTTGGGGGGAGTTTGTCGGTATGAACACAACCAAATATAAAATAAGAGGATTGTATTCTTGATCAAAGGGGGTAGGTGTGTGGGGGGAGGGGGGGGGTGTATGTGGCGCAAACACACTAATGTAATGAGGTAATTTCCTCCACAAACGGAACCCAATCACCCCCTCTCGATTCAGTTTCCCCACCTTTGTAAGTCTGAGTACCGCAAATGTTTCACAGAATTTGGAAATTTAGAATCTTTCTACTTATTTTTAAAAACAGACACTAACTTTTTTTTGAATCCTCGCAAAAGTAGCATTTTTTTTATGCAAGGGTTTGCTTTTTAAAAAAAAGTTTATATATAATATACTGTATGTGCCCTGAGCAACACTTTGCTATTCAGCTAATTACAACCACCAAAAACACAGTCAAAGGACAACATGTCTATTGGAGAAATACTAAGACTCAGTTTACTGAGCATTCAACGTGTCTAAAAATCCACGCTTCGTTTGGGTTTTTTTTTAAGCTTGTCCGAGCTTTTATTCCCCAAAAACGTAAAAGCAAAAAAAAATTGACATTTTTTGGCAAGCTCTTTGAAATTTTCATCCCGTTCCTTCTGAACTTACCAAAGGCGATATCTTCCCTAACCCTAATATACTTCAGTGAAGAGCAGAATATCTCTCTTGTTTCTGTTCATCAATGTTCCCAACTTCAAGAAGCTTGCTGTGCTCAATACTGTACAGATCCCCCCTCTCTCATAAACACTGTTGCTCTCATCACTGGAGGAGTGAGCTACATTCCTCTGGTGATATCACTATGAGCAACACATCCCAAGGCCACTAACCCTATGGTTCAAATCAACATGGGAACAAAGCATGTCTCTGACTTGACACGGGGAGGGAGGTGACAGTCTTGTGGACTCCATCCATGTGCTTTTCATCGCCTGGACTCTCATCAAATTACAAATTGCCCATTCTCTAACCTTATCTTTAGATGATCAACCACCAAAATCCAACAAAATTCAATAATTCCCCCCCACCCACCAACACCGACACAGCCTGAGACTACCAACCGATCCCCACAGAATGGTCTTTGTGAACTTTTCCTTTGAATCAACAAGTTTTTTTTTAATAAATAAGAAATAGCCTGTAGAAGAATAAAGTCATATATGATTGTCCATTAGCAGATAAAAAATATAGAACAATTTGTTTCTTTGCTGCATAAATAGTCTCACACACCCTGAGAAAGCTTTGTGGATGCACGTTCAGTTCTGATTGCAGGATTGGACCCCACGAATCTTTAACACTTTGGGATTGGGTGGGGGGTGTCTTGCCAAGGGTCTGTTTTGGGGAGTTTTTTGGTTTCACTGAATTGACAGTAGAGCTGGTGGGAACCAAGACACAAGCAGAGCGACAGGTGAGCAGCGTTTACAGACAAAGCCACTCTGAGGAAGATCAAAACACAAATAAAAAGACAGGCGCAGAAGGACAGATGATTACAACGGGTTGGAAGGGGCTTCCGTCCATATGCACTCTTTGAACTCGTTCCTTTAAAGTACCTGGGTTCCCTTCCAGTTCTTCCAGTGTGACTGACTGTAGGGGAACCTCGACAGTCTGGTTTGGTATTGAACTCACTAATTTCACCCCCAAGACACAATGGTGGGCTCACATGGAGTTATAAACTGAGCTCTTGCTTGACTCTGATGGGAAGATGAGGCGATGGGTTGTGGTGAGAGAGCAGTGGATTTGTGATCCTCTGGTGGAAGCTGATGGACGGCAGGGTGTCTGCACTGTGGTATGCTGCTCGGATTTGCTCCTCCTTGTTATCCTCCAAGACCCCAATGATAAGCTTCTCGGCCACCAAATCGACCTCTGCCATTGTGGCATTCTCCTCAAGTCTCTCCGCGTTCTCGCTCACATCGAATCTGTCGATCTCCTGATTGATCCTGCTTAGGTCGTCTGGGGCCCACCTAGCAGTGGAGCTCATGGAGCAGTTGCCCTTGAGATGGATTGTCAGACTGCAATGGTGCACGTAGCTCTTTGGACAGAAGTGACACTTGTGTGGACGTTCCTTGTTGTGTAAGCGCCGGTGAAGCTTGAGGTGGACGAACTGGGTGAACTTGGTGGAGCATTGCTTACACTGATAGGGCTTCTCCCCCGAGTGCAGCCTCAGGTGTGTCTTCAGGTTGCTCGTGCTGCTGAAGCGCTTGTGACAGACCTGGCGAGGGACAGACACAGAACCAATGACGGACGTCCAACACACAAGGCCAGAGCAAGCCCAACTCAGGAACCACATGGGCAAGCCAATATCTCCAGACATCTTTCAGCAACTGACACATCTCTTCCCCGCGAGTCTGTGCTGGTGCTCACTCCCCCACACTGGAACTGTCCTCTTATCCCATTCCCTGCTCCCTTCCAATCGTGTCTGTGCTGATACTCGCTTCCCCACTGGAACCAATTACTCTAACCCTGTTCCCCTACTCTTGCCCCATAACTTTTTCAACATTTACCCACTTCCATTCTGAGTCTAGCTATAGCATGTCTAGCATGTTTCTTCCAATATTTTCTCGTGACAATAGTCCTGGATGACCAGGTGTCTCCTCACCTGACACTGATGCGGTTTCTCGCCCGTGTGGACCAGATAGTGCTTCTGTAGGTGAGCCAGCTGGGTGAAGGTCTTATTACAGGTTTGGCAGGAGAAGGGCCTCTCTCCGCTGTGCACTCTGAGATGTACCTGCAACAAAGAGAATATCCAGTTGATATCCAGGTAATGGGATTGAACTGTGGTCATGACACTCTGCTCCAACCCTTGCTCTGCTGTCCACACTCTGTGAAGGTATCAAGTGAGGACAGGATTGAGTCTGACTGCAATTACCCCCCACCACTCAATAGATAATAGTAATAACAATAATCCTTGCCTTTGATATAGCACCTTATCACGTCATTGAGTTCTCTCAAAGCGTTTCACAGTATACTCTGTAAAGTGGATTGACTGTGCATTTTGTGGGCGAAACTCAACACACGAAGATTGACTCAACACACTTGCTTCTACTCAGCAAAGAATTTAAGATACCTTGAGGTTAGACAGTTGTCCAAAGGTCTTCAAACACACGTTGCATTCATACTGGATCTTTCCGTTCTGCTTCTTCAGAGGGTAAGGGAGAGATTTGTAGCCGGGGTAATTTGCTGGAATGGTCTTTGGTTTGCTGAGATTCATTGCTTCCTCATTCATCCGAAGCCATGAGGTAGCTTTCGGTTGCACCAACAGCTCGGAAGTTATGGTGGTGCCTCCGCTTGGTGAGCTGCGGAGAGGTCTTTCCTTCAAACCCTCCGGCGGGCTTGCGAGGGAGAAAGCACTGTTAGGAGCAGGAATGAGGACCTCCCTTGCCTGCTCGGGAACCGCTAACCTTTGGCCTTCTTCACTGTGAGGAGGAATGGGCAAAACAGTCGGGCTTATAATGGGATGGGGGAGACTGTCACCACCCAGGAAGCTTCCACAGACTGGGGGCATCCTGCCGAAAAGGCCGAGGCTGCTGAGCGCTACTGGTCTGTTCAGTGGGTGAATGATAGGTGAGTAATTGGGCAAAAGATACCTGGGGTAATGGGGCGAGAGGGGAGAGAAGGGGTACATGTACTGATGTGGGAGGTGGCTTGGAGGTGAGTACATTGGGTAGGGCACAAGGCTTTCTCCGTTACTGAAATGCCCATTCATATGAAGCTGGATGCCTTTGTGAGCTGAGGTAGTTGAGTTTGGAGAATGGATCTGAGGGCTTAGTTGAGCGCTTGGACTCTTGGATCTTTGGTTTGGACTGATTCCATGTGGTGAGGTACTTCGGCCAAATGGCAATCCACTGTCACAAACACCAGCCATCTTCGAACCGTTATATTCGGGCTGTGGTCTGGACACTGGGACTGGGTAAAGCTTTTTACTGAAGTCCACTATTTGGTTATCTGGAGTGTCAGGTGGTGTGTCTCGATCAATCATCTCCACGTCGATCTTGGTTTCACTGTTCTTTGTGTTGTTAGCATCATGTTTTTCGCCGTCTTTGCTGTATTCTCCTTGTTGAGGTAGCGGGCCACTGGATGCAGACTCTAAATCCTTACATCCCTCAAAGTTTTGCTCTGTAATAAAGAGAAGATTGTTAATCTCTCAGACAGTGACTGGAGAGAACACACCCTGCTGGGCTCTGGAGAATGCCTCCAACCCCACGTTGCATAAGTCAGGAAAAAGCCTCTTTGGCACATTTGGTTTCATCCTTCCAGAATCCCCACTTGACCCATCTTTCCAGTACAGCATCCAACTGTTTTTTAACTTAGTTCAATGTCTGGCCTCAACACCCTTCCTTTCTGGTAACCCCATTCCAGCTGTTAATTCTACTCTGTGTAAAAAAAATGCTTCCTGGTGACTGTTCCGATATTGCTCTTCACACCCTGAACCTCTGCCTTCTCTTCCTGCTGCCTCAGCATATCTGAAAGTATATCCTGGATTTACTTTCACAGTCTCCTTTAGTGTCTCAAACACCACTGTCAGGTCAGCTTGAAATATTTTCTGTGAACACTGAGGGGTTGCAGCTGATCTAGTTACTGGATAGCAAGGCAGGGTAAGGCCTTTTCTCTAATTCCCCATCAGGCTGGACATCCACAGCCACAACTCAAGGGTCTACTATTGTGAATCGAGGTGCCAATCAAACCTCTGCTGTGAGCTTTGGCTGCTGCGCACTGGGGAATGCATTGAATCATTAACACAGAACAGCAGCTGTGCAACACCCGGGAGCTGGCTCTTTATAGTGTCCATCGCTGGAAACGACATGCAATTTCGCCATTAAAGGGACATTTCAGTTTCCCAACCAGGGACTCTGAAGCCTTTGAGTTAAAGGTGTCTCTGCTGTGCTCACGCCAGTGTCTTCAACAAAGACTTCGCTGCACAGACATAAACCGCTCTTTGATGTGTAACCAAAGATCCCTGTTCTGATAGGAGACATGTTGAGGCAAAAAAACACACATCGACCCAAAGCTTCCTCTTTCCTTCCCCAAATTATTCTGATCAGACCTTGTGTGGGCAGAACGGCTGGCAGTGTGAGGGTGCTTGCTAATCACTGTCACCACAGTCATTCCGAGTTCAGCTGACTCACAGAATGAAACTGACTGACAGTGTGCCTCCAAAATAAAGCCTTAAAAAAACCACACGTTCGCTTTGAGTGTAAACATAGGGAAGATGAAAGAGAACAGGTTTTAATACATAAGCAAGGAGTGCAGTCACCAATAACACCCAGTGACTCAAATAAGAGAGAGGAAGAACTTGTTTTATAATAGAGACCTTGTGACACCAAAATATCTCAAATCACTTCATAGGAATTTCTGTCACATATAGTGACTGAGTAGTTTGCAGCTGGATGTAGCAGCAAATTTGTGCGCATCAACATCCTACAAACAGTTGAGTGACCTTTTATCTGGGGAATTGTTGGGTCAGGTTTCCCGGGAGAGAGAAACTGCTCCACTTTTTCAATGGTGCTGCAGGCTTTTTAACATAATAATAATATCCTTGCATTTGATATAGCGCCCATCTGAAGCAACATGCCTACGATGGTGAGCGCTCCACCCCCACCTCCCATCACAGACATTTTAACGCTGGACACCACCTTTTCTCTACCAAGGGGTAATATATATGCAAAACCAATGCTGGTGATGATTTATGTCTCAGACATTGGAAATCTGTATAGCCCCAAATGACAGAGCCTAACAGTGAATCAGAAAGGAGTACAGACCACAGGTATTAGAGCAATTTACACTCCCTCAATACGTTGATCTGTAAAGTCATTGCCCAGTATAAGACTGAGTCAGACAGAACCAAAGGGTCTTAGATAGCAAATCAATCTCAGTAGTGATAGCAGACTCTGCGGGTAATATCTCAGAGATATTGTGCAGTTAGATTTGCGAGTCAATATCTGAGTCAAATGGAAACCTTCCTCCTATGTGTTGTTCGGCAGAACGGCAATGACCTGCCCGAGTCATTACTGCCCACTTTCCGTTTCACTTTGACTTTTTTGGAGCCGGTGGTGAGGAGCAGGTCAGGGGGCGGTGAAGAAAGCTCTGACTGAGCAAGATTCTGTCAACAGCCACACATCACGCTTGAACAAACGACAAGTAACTCTATGAACAACAGTCACTACACTCAACAGCAACACTGCGAAGCGATAAGGCATGTGCTTTGTCTTGGGTATTTTAGGTTAAGATTCTCAATCTTTGTAACTCGACAAAGAAGGAATAGGCTGATCACAATGCTGTTCATACCCATTGTGTTGGGGAGGGAGGGAAAGAAAGAAAGAATGGACAGGCAAACTAACTAACTAACTAACTAACTAACTAAACTGCAAGTCATGACAGAAGAGAATCGTTTCTCTTTCTATGTGTGAGGCAGGAGCAGGGGAGGGCTGGCAGCTCTGGACAGACATAACAGCTGTGGGGAAAGGCTATGGTGCACACAATGTTATTAGGTATTGGAAACCCTAAGGTTCAGTGACCAACGCAATAACAGCGGTGTATTTAGGTACAGATCGCGAGAGAGACACAAGTCTTTCCAGTAAGGACTGTAACATCACAGCTCAGTGGAGACTGATTTACGAGAGACTTAGCCACACACACACACAGAAATAATTCACTCGCAACAGGAACACAAGAGGGAAATTCGCTCAGATACTTTCTTGACACCTTGAATACATTGACAACGATTACTTTTTTTGGGGGTTGGGGGGGGGGGGGGGGGGGGAGGGGGAGGGTGCAGTTTGGAGTTTATTAATCCCATAACAAGCGAATGGGAAAGTGAAGTGTCTGCGGGATTTAACCCAATCTTACCCTCCCTCTCAACCCACCCCACCCCGAAGAGCAGTCTGGCACCCGTTGGCACTGTTGAGTCCAACCCTACTGCTGTGATCATCCGCAGCGGCTAATTAATTCTGTTTTATATCTTCCCCCACTTTGCAAATACATTTCATTGAAGTTCCTATACATTGGATTAAGCCCGAGCCCATCCTTTGGGGGTTCCCAGCCTCTAACCCCCCCCCCCCCACCCCACCCCAATCTCTGTCCTTATATCTGATCTTGAGCTTTGAAAGTTCATAAATTCAGTATCAGTCCCCCCCCCCCCCACCCCCCCCCATCCCATAAAACATTTGCAGTAATTTAATTTGCTTAAATTTAGAAGTTTGGGAGTTTTTTTTTAACCAATTAAATAAAAGCGAATTCATAGTACCCATCAATAATAAAAGTACATTTGCGGATATTTTGAGCGAAGCTAAACTCGGTATATAGACCATCAAAAAGCAGAGGTGGTAAACCTGGGGAGAGGGAGAGGGGGAGAGTGGGAGAGGGGGAGAGGGAGAGGGGGGAAGAGGGGGAGAGGGAGAGGGGGAGAGGGGGGAAGAGGGGGGAAGAGGGGAAAAGTTTGGGATTTTGTTTGTGAAAACTTTAGAAAGTTCCGCGAAGACATCGATGTGAAGGGAGAACGCAGTTCGGCGGAGAGTTCGCAGTTCGGCCGCGGACTCTCTGCGATGCGCAACGAAACCGTCCCGAATTACCTAATCGATGCGCTTTTTCTCTGTGTGGGCAAAGGCAGGTGAACACTCGCAGGAGCCGCGGCGTCGCACCAACAGCCTTTGATCATATCTGAATGCGGGCAGTGAGACACACACACACACACACACAGAGACACAGGGACACACACACACACACACAGGGACACACACACATACACAGGGACACACACACAGACACACATACACAGAGACACACACACACACACACACAGAGACACACACAGGGACACACACAGACAGAGACACAGGGACACACACAGGGACACACAGGGACACACACACACACGCAGACACACACACACAGACACACACACACAGAGACACAGGGACACACACACACAGAGACACACACACACACACAGAGACACACAGACACACACACACACAGGGACACAGAGACACACAGAGAGACACACACACACACAGGGACACACACACAGACACACACACACACAGAGACACACAGAGACACACACACACACAGACACACACACACAGACACACTGTCACAAAGCAACAGACTAGGGGAGATAGAGCCACACAGACACAGAGAGAGACACACACAGTCACAGAGAGACAGAGATACACACACACACACACACACAGACGAGGGGAGATAGAGACAGAGAGAGACACACATATACACACAGAGAGAGAGAGAGAGAGAGACAGACAAGAGAGCTCTCAGGGAACAAAAATAAACCCATCCCAGGGTCATCCCAAAAAGTTTATTGCGTTAAAAGGTCCCATTTATCAGCTTGAAATGTCCGATTCATTTCCTGCTGTGAGTCACCGAAATGTAACTTTCAATCTTTATTGCACTATCCCTCTTCATCAGGTTTTGGGATGTATTTAAATAGCTGCTGTAGTAGAACTGTTGCTCTTTAGTGAGTCTGGAATGTGTGAGCAGAGAGAGAGAGAAAAAGACAGAGACAAAAGAGAGAGTGACAGAGAAAGAGAGACATAGAGAGGGAGAGAGACAGAGACAAAAACAGAGAGAGTGACAGAGAAAGAGAGAGAGAGACAGAGCCAAACAGACAGAGAAGAGGCAATGAGCACTCACACAGCTCTGCCCAGTCAACAACCCCACAGGAAAGAGTTCACCCTCTCACACAGAACGTCACATATAAACGCTCTGACAATCCATCAGACTGATGCCCTCTCCAGAGAGAAATAATAGTAATAATAATAATAATCCTTTTGTTTGATATCGCGCCTTATCGCAACTGATTCACTCCCCAAGACAAGACTCGACTCCCACTCACTCGAACGCAAGCACTTGTTGCAGTTTCTCTGAGACCAACGTTGATTCCAGACACCTGGCAACTCAACTCAACCAAATCCCATTCTCACCCCGGGCTGTTATCCTTTGGATGGCAAAACTGTAGAAAAGCTGCTGACTGTCAGTTCCTCCCCAACCCCCACCTCCGTGACTTCACACCCAACCTGCTCCCCGTTCCCAGTCAATGTCGGAGAAGCAGGCTCGGTGTCAAATGGTGCTTCAGCAAGTGCATCAGGGCTATGAGACAGTATGAGCGCAGGGTTCACACAACCACAACAACAAACTACATTTGTATAGCGTCTTTCATGTCAGGAGGATGTCCCAGAGTGCAGAAACACCCAACTGTAAGGCGGCCAGGGTGTGAATGTGCCACCGTATCTAAGCAGCGAGGAGCAGGAAGGCAGCGGGAATACACCACGAAGACAAGCAGGTCAATAACTTCACACCGACATCCATCCCCGATACCCCAACAAACAGCAAACACCCCAACACATGGCAAAGGACTGAGGGCACTTACTGAGTTTCAGCATCACCAGGTCCCCGGTTGGTGGGTAGCTGAGCCGATCGGCAAAGTCGTGGCTGTACCAAACGAGCAGCTCGCGGCTGGGGGCTACGGGCTTCACCGTGTAAAAATAAATGTCGGTCCCGTTCTGGCAAGCCACCAGATTTTGTTCCTCTGGCGAGCGCGCTGGGTTCACGTAACGCATCCAGTTACTCTTGTGAATGTTGTAGCCATCGAGAAAGTGGTGCAGCCGTCCGGCTGAATAGATCTACAAACAGAGAAACAGCAACGGATAGGTAAACACGGGGCATCAGGGTGTGCGTCCTGGGCGGGGGGGGAGAGGGGGGTGCTTAGCCCCTTTTGCAAGTTTTTCGCATTCTAAGAATAAAACTAACTTTTTTAAAAAAATCAGGTATTACACGTGAATTTTAAATCATATAAATATATAAAAAGTCCAGCAACCTCCTCCATCTGTTTGCCTGAACTCCAAGCTCTGAAGTGAGTGAGTGGGAGTGTGCAGAGAGCTCGCAGGAGATGGGTTCGCTATCTTTCTCTCTCGCGCTCTCTTCACGCTCACTCGCTGCCTGTTACCAATTCCTTTGCAGTTTCAGATGTGTGAGCGCTGCTATTTATGAGCTGCCACTCTCATGATCGAGATCAGGTGACATCAGCACGTTACCAGTTACTGTTTCTGTGGGCGGGACTCCTGATTTTGGACTGTTTTTAATCGCCAAGAAGAAAAAAATGTCAAGGAGGAAGTTGAATGTACTTGCTCGCTACTGGTGGTTTTACGCTGAGAAATGGCAGCGTGCCAGGGGAAATTTGAAAGGTGCGGGTTCTGACATGTAATTGTTGATGGGATCGGTCTGATTCCCTCCTTTCCCTATTTTCGGAGAATTTCACCACCGTTGACAGGAAGGAAACCAATGATTAGGAACGGAAGTGCCCCCGCCACACACACACACACACACACAAACCCGCCCCCTCCTCCAGGCTGTTTCTAAACATTTTACTAATTTTACTAAATCTGTAGTTTCTTCGAGCAGGTAAGTGCTGATTGCCAGCCCGCAAGTTGAGCGCTGAAATGAGAGAGGGTTATCGATCGGGGAGGCGGGACATCGATTGGGAGGGGGCCATCGATTCTTAGGGGGGCCATCGATTGGGGCGGGGGCTATCGATTGGGGCGGGGACTATCGATTGGGGCGGGGACTATCGATTGGGGAGGGGGCTCACCTGACATGCTTAGTACGCACTATTTACATATGATGGCACTTAGTCTGCCGTGTTTATGTGCTGTAGTTACATATTTCTTTGCATATATTCAGCATATATAGTATATATGTTTGCGCATTTACTGTCAAAATACTGTAACTCTGAGCTTCTCCCTCCCGTCCTCAAAATACACTGAAATTGTGGTTTATTTGTCGACGTGACTTATGATTACCCCTTGTATTGGGAGGGGGGGAAGGAACTGTTGCTGTTGTACAAGATCCCGTCATTCTCAGCATCAGACAGGACCTTAGAGTATAAAACCCCAATAATGTGACTGATCTCTCATCGTGATGGAATTTCCGATAATGCAGCACTCCCCACCCCACCACTCCACTGGAGCATCAGCCTAGACTGTGAGCTCAGAGACCCCGAGGTGGTTGTAGGGTGGGGGGGGGGCATGCAACCTGCAACCTTCTGACCCACTATGGAGAAAGAAACAATTCAACATAAGGCGAAGCACTGCACCAAATGGAAGGTTTTATGAGAGTGGTGGGGGTGAAAGGAGAGAGTGTTGTGCTGGTGCTGTTTCTTCTTGCTGCCAGCAGAGGGTAGAGAGCGGTAGCTTCCAGCGATGGGAGTGACGATGACCGTGAATCAGGTGGAGTTTAGTGTGTGTTTGCTTGTGGTGACCTAATGGGCTGATCCCTGACGGATTGCACGCGGCTTAGCAGGCAAGAGAAACTGACACTGAAACAGAAAACAAAGCTTCCACTCCGTCACCAATAAAAGAGCACCTGTTTATCTCGAGTACAGGATGCGGGGGTTTAGGAGTGGGAGTTGTACTCTATTCTCTGAGCTAATGTCACAGAATTAAACTGTCTCTCCCTGCTCCCTTTACTGCCTTATTTAAATTGTTCTTCTCCGGATTTAAAAGCCATATTTATAACGGAGGCTCAGCCATTCGCACTCTCGCCTCGGCGTCATCAGGAGGTTGTGGTTTCGAGCCCGCACATCAGAGACTTTGTGCTCACTGCCAAGACTGTCTGTCTGGACAGTGCGAGGCCCGACTGTCTGTTTGGACAGTGCGACTGTCTCTTCAGTGTAGTACTGGGTGGGGGTGGTGGCGGCGGTTGTGGGGTGGGGGGTGATGTGTGCTGCATCATCGAAGGTGTGGTTCTTAGAATGAGACGTTAAACTAAGGTCAGGTGAATTTTAAAGTAAAACAGCATCTTTCATGTTGGGAGGTCATTTCATAACACTTCCCAGGTTTTGCTGTAAAGTGTAGCGATTGTGTGTTTGAATGTTAAGGACCCTGACAGTCTATTAGAAAGTGTCCGGTGGATCTGGGAGGGTTACTGGGGTGGGGGGAGGGTGGTCTTTGGGTGGAATTATTGCGACGACACTATGTGGGGCGGTGGAGGGGGGAGAGAGAGTTACCCCTCCAGTCAGTCTTTGGGAATAGATAAAGACATGCAAGACATTCCATAATTCTAGACTTCTATGAAACATCACGCATTTTATGTCTTAAGGTGTGGTGGGTATGACAATGAGCATGCATGGGTGGGGAGAGCATCAGTTGTTACTCACTCTCCAGAAATATTTCCGGTTTGTGTTCTTTGGAACATTGTCTTTGGTGTAGATTTCACCGACCAGTGGCCCGAAGCGAGTTCCCTGGGGGATGTATTCCCTGCTGAGCACTCCAACCACCTGCTAATAGGAGACAAGTAGCACAGATCAGGGCGGGCAAACCTCACACCCTATTCCACAAGATCCCAACACAGGCTGAAGAAAGTCATTTGTCCCATTTGATTGCATACCAATCCGCCTTTCTGTCTTCCCTGAGAGCATCGAGTGCTAGCGCCTGCCCTTCCCAGTGCCCCCAACCAGTGGTTGATTCACCTCTCTGTGTAAAATACAATTTGGTCCCATTATAACAATACTCCAGTTTGGCTGAGATAGAGTGTGGGGAAAGGTTTTAGGGGCAAAGGCCAACCTTGAAACCCATCAACGGATCTTACTGTCTCGATATTCCTGGAATTGGCATTAAATATTTGCACTTTCCTCCGTATCTATGATCACCAGAGACTGTGTTGAGTCTTGCAGTGGGAAGGTCTGGAAACCTGAGCAACGTGTCTCAGTCATTGTGCAGTCAGTCTCTGCGGCCAACTCCTACCCTCTTTGCATGTGTTGCTGCCCCATTAATTGTATTTTCCTGAAGGACAACATGGGTTGCCATCACACGAAACAGCAGTTTGGAAGCATGGAGCACTAATGCAAATGTAATTGGAGCTAATTTTCTATGACTGCATTAGAGAGGTAATGCAGCAACGAGGCAGTGTGTGATGCACATTGCAACAGCCACTGCAGCAGAAGATCATTACTTAACCACCATAGAGGCCCAAAGCAGTCACATGGCAGTGGAGGGTAGTGACTCAATTCTTGGAACTGGGAGATCTCGGGCTTAGATCATTCTGTGGTGATTGGGAGGGGTTGAGCACACAATCCTCAGCCTCCTTGGTATCCTTCCTTGCAGGCACCAAGGGTTCGGTGGCTGGGGCCAGGATACCAGGAGGAAATGGCCTGGTTTTACAACATACTGTGCTAACATTAGGAAGGTTCCTGATTCCTGCTTCGCACCAAAGGAAAGTTAATCAGGCCTGACCTACATTTCAAGCCACAGCTACAGCCCCCGCCATCTGTTTACTAGTCTGTGTCTGATAGCCATCAATCAGGAGTTGACAGGTCAGTAAGATACACAGGAGTCAACTTGAGACCACGAATGTTGCTGAGACTGGGAACGCTGGCAAAATAGTCACTACACATCACAGTAAATGAGATGTAAAAGCGCTTTGAGACGTATCAACAATATGATGTATCAGACATCAAGATTATTAGTGTTATATAATTGCAAGTGGCTGTCTCTAACTGTTTGGAACTTAACTTAATTGTGTTTGGAAATTATGATTGATTGCCCCTGGCCCCGTTTCCAAATCTGTCAGTAAATTTCTGGAGAAATTTGTAGCATTACTCAGCTTTGCCTGCCCATGTAAGCCTGCACAGGGAGTCGTTGCAAGGTGAGAAATCATCTTAGTTGATACCTCGTGACATGATAGGAAGCGAATGGAAACGTTACACAGGAAAGCTGTGCAGGAATAGTAGCTCCCATAGGCATCAGCAGCTTGGACACAAGGCATAAGCTCGCAGGGGCATTGAGAGCATTGTGGCAATGGGTGCTGTAAGGGGGGGAAGAGCGATTTGAACACCTGCTGCCCGCTTTCTCCCCCCCTTGGCCCCATGTCTCTGTCCTCAAGGCAGGGCCTGCATGGGTAGGAACGGTCGCAGGTCAAACAACTTAATAATACTAATGCTCACATTTGATCTAGCGCCTTTTACTTTCAGGAGGACGTCTCAAAGCACTTCACAAGCTACCAGAGTGAACGACTGCGTATTTTGTAGGCGAACGTGGCAGGCAACTTGTGCACAGCGATACCCCACAGCCGTGAAGTGAATGACCCAATTTATCCAGGGGGATTGTTGGCCAGGGCACGGGGAGAGAAAAACTCCCTTCTCTTTTTCAATATCGTCATGGAATCTTTACTGTTCGCCGGACAGTCCGAGGGAAATCACAGCCAAAGAGTCAAAGAGAGAGCACGCAGTTTCTGCAGTGGCTGCACTTTAGAGTGAAAACTGTGAAGCACTTTGAGGCATGCTCGCGGTATGAAAGGTGCAGGATCAAATATAAGGATCAGTTTTATTATCAGAGCGGCACTTTCATAAAGTACTAGTTTTTAATGAGACGCAGAGGATTGAGCCCCATATGACTTCCCATTGAGATATCAGAGTGAAATGGCTTTTCCTTGCAATTAGAATCAGTTCCAACCATCAGCATTTCCTGACAAGATGCTAAATGCCATTGTGATATGTAAACCTGCCACTCCTCCCTCCCTTCCAAGAAATACCAATGGAATCTAAATTAGTATTTCAATTTGTTTAAATCAAAAGCATTGAAATCAGACCTGCCTCTGTACCCACCTTTTTCTGGCTCCGTGCCCACTCTCACTGACATCATGTAGCCAGAAATGTTTACCTTTGGCAAATTCAGGCACAGATTCTCTCTCTCTCGTTGCCAAGCCTAAAACTAGGGAGGAACCACGTTGCCTGTCATTGGCTGTGATCCGCATGGAGAGCTTGTTGGGTTTACGTTTAACAATAACACTTCCTGGAATCTGACTCATTAGCTCTCGCTATCTCCTTCAAGTTCCACATCAGGAGCTGCACAATCCAGCCAGGCTCTCTCTCTCTGACTAGCACTCGGAAGCTTACCTCGGTCAAGTTGGCGGAGTATTTGAAAGTCAGGTTTCGGGGTATGGAGGTCCGAGCCCGGGGCAGGC